TTTTTTGGGACCAAAAGTCATCCAATAATACAACTGAATCCCAGAAGGAAATTATTTAAAATTTATTTTGTGGCAAAAGCTTTAGATCGATCATAAACACTCTAAGTTCTTTGTAGCGCTTGCGGCGACCAAAAAATCTAAATCATAAAATTCCAAGGGGTGGGCTCCTTATTAAACTAATCAACAATCAGTTAAATGAAAGTGAGCCTTTCGGCTAGTGTCCTTAACATTCATTATTAATGAAAACGTTTTGACTGTCTTTGAAGCCACAAAATCAGTAATTTTACGAACAACGCAAACATATTTTGGTAAATTTTTTCTTTGCATTCCTGTGTTACATCGAATGGCAACACAAAAGATCTTTGTAATAAAATATGTGTTTATTGTTCATCGTGGTGTGAGTTAGGAGATGAAACGAACAAAGTTCATCTCCTACAAAAGATGTTTTTACTACTAAAGAGTAAACAAAGTATCTTAAACTTTAAAACCAAATGCCTGCTCCTAAACTAAAGGAGGATTCCTGTTATGAAAGCCCAATTTTTCTCACAAGTTTGTCCGAATGTCTTTGATGTTTGATGACTCGAGGACATGGCGTTATATAAACCAGCGAAAGTAAACGACATTTCGCAATATGATAATTTAGACAGACGGAGTACGTTTTTTTTTTTTTTTTTTAAGATTGATGCATTTTAATTTATTGGCAAATAAACTCTTAGTTTCTTAAGTTTTCTTTTCTTACTTGTCGTTGCTGCAGCACTGTGCCGTCAGTTCGGCCAGCAGTAATTAATACCTCGAAGTACACAACCTAAACGGTAAGAACATTTCTTTGGTGTTGCGCTCGATTATTCTAAGTTAGATAATTGCATGACTAACCTTTTATTTCGTTTCTATAGAATGTTATTTCAAGACTGCGTGAATAAACTTCGTTTGGGTTAAAGTTTTTTGAAACTCCTCCGTTTACGTGTACGGAAGGTAGCTACATTTGTCGTTGCTGATATAAGAAACTTTGACGAAACGTCTTGTCGAATAAATTCAGATCCTTTGCGACTTCATGTGACGACCATATAGACTTTTCCAACGTCCAACAAGATGCCAAAATATTCAGGACCTCTTGAAATGTTATGTACTTTTGATATAACCAATAAACAACCTCGGGAAATGGTAAGACTTGATGATAATAATAAGATTGAGATGCTTATTTGAATAAATCTTCATCTAATTTAACAGCATTTTTCCACGATTTGTGAAGATTTTCCACCTATATCCTCATTTCCATAATAGCCAGACTTTCCACGAGAAATCATTTTTCTTCATAACGACCCAATAACTTTAACAATATCTCGCATATTTCAATTGTTCTTCGTCCAATCAGATGGCTATTTTTCATAATTTTGGGAGAAAATTCACCACTGAATGAAATTATGTCTAAAGATGAAAATTCACTTTTTTTTCCCTCTAAAATGAAATCCATTTAAACTGGTTTATGAAATGAATTGGACTTCTTCGGGTTTTCCGAAACACTCGTTCCCAGGCATTTGATCTTAAAAATATAACTTCCAAAACGACAAGAGAACATTGGTAAACACGTTACAAGCAGCAAGTAAGAAAAAATTAAGGACTTAAACAAGTGTCCAATTATTTGAATTATTGATCGTAACGTTGAAACCAATGTTCTCTTTCTGAGACCGACCTCAAATGATGGGAAAAAGGAGTTACCAGAGATGGTAAGTTTCTCTTGTATTTCTATCTATAAACATTAAGCTATCGACATTTCTGATCCTAGCAGTATGCAGGACGCGTGTCATATGAACTTCGTAATAGACCTCGCTCACCGTAGAGTCTCTCTGGCTTTGTAGTTAGAGCATCGGAGCGCGGAATCCGCAGGTCTGAGGTTCGATTCCTCATGGGGACTAAAAATTTTTTCTTTGTCCCACGCTCGTGACAAGACGACATAACATCTCTCTCTATTTCTTTACCGAGCTCAAAACTTACCATCTCTCTTATTTCTATCCGATGCCTAATTGTTAAGAAGACGAATATAGAGAGCTTTTTATTACAACAGCCAATCAAAAGAAAGTAAATACAACTAAACTGCCTGAAGCGCGGGAAAACGCTACTAATGCGACCAAATCGTGAATGGTTTTACTTTTGTATCTGATTGGTTGAGAAATCGGAGTGACTTTTCTAGACCAATCACAGAGTGAGGTTAGGCAAAACAAATGATAAAGTGGATCATACTTTTTTAAATTTCAATTTTTTGCTATTACGTCAATGTCAAAGTCCGTATTCAAATTTTTTTGCAATGTAAAAAAAAGTTTCTAAGATAAATTTGACGAAGCTTTCTTAGATTAATTGTACCAAATTACGGGGAGAAGTAGAAATGAATGAAAAAAGCACGCGATCGCCCAAGGTCTGCAAAACAATCCGTATCGATCATTAAAAATTAATCTAAAAATGGCGGCTATAATAACTAATTATTTACCACAAGTATCCATTTTCTAGCACAAGAGAGATAAAATTGGACCGGTAGTGAAGAGCTAAGTCTGATTACAAAAAATAAAATGAGATTCAGAGAGCCACCATTATTGCTACTGCTACTCGATAATTTCAAAATTCTTATCTCTGCAGATTCCTCTTCAAATTCAGCGACGTCATTGTCTTCTCTTGGCCAGACCATTATCCATCCATACTTCTGACAACATCCCTAGACCTGAAACATAAATTAGCATTGCGATCAGGGACTTATCTACACAAAGCTTAAATAACTCTGCCTTCGCAGAAATGCAGTCTAGAGAGCTTTGAAATGAAAATTGAGAAATCTTTCTTTTCGCATGATATGCTAAAGTCTGTGCAGTTGGACCCGTTTGACTCCAAAATGACGTCGATCTCTAGTGAACTTAACATTGAAAAATCCTTGTTCTAATGTCCAGATCAAACGATGGCAACGAATTATTATCACACGTTATTCCAATTAAAGAATACACTTCAGGGACCGACACCCTTTCTCAATCGAACTTCGAGTCGAAGAGCCACGCAGACCCAAGAATTGACACGTGTTAACTCGTTCAACTAAGAAGTTGCGGCTCGTTCAGGTTTCTGAAGGATTTCAAGGCAATATTTTCCAAAAGAGAGCTCACCTTCTGTTAAAGTATCAAGAAACTGCTTTCCTGTGTTCTTCGTTACAAGTCAAGTGCCTTCTTCCTCCCAAAGTTCCACTTAATCTTCAACATCAGGAATAACACTCCTTCACTCTCCGGCGTAGAGCGTGGTTTACTGAAAATTCTACTGTTTCTTATGAATTAACAATTGATTCATACGTCAGCGTGCGTTCATCGAGATATGAAGCACGCAAGAAGTTTGGAGAGCACGAAAGATGAGTAAGAGTTGCTAGCTTCCTCAGTGCTCTCCAAACTTCCCAAGTCCTTATTATCTCGATGAACGCACAGCTGACGTATGAGCCAATTGTTTTATAACATTTTCAACCCGATGGAACATTTTTTTTCTCGAGGGATTTGTTTGCTGACGTCACGAGCGTGCACAATAGGAATATGAAGCACGCTCGCGCAATTGAATTTGATTACACAAATTTACTAGCTACGTTACAATATGGATTAGTAACTCCAGCCAATTACTAGCTGGTACGTCACAGATTTTAACACAGAGTTTTGTTTGCACGCTCATCCAGCTTCTTAAGGATCAGGTGGAAAAAAAGGCTTTGTTTGTGATGAATTCGCACGTGTAAAGGAATGATTTCACAATTAACGCATTAAAGAAACTATTCTGAGACCAGGAAACTCCCGAGAAAACGAAACAGAAGTTAAAACATTCGCCAATGTGGTATTGTGGGTTTCCAGAAGCTGGAATTATCCAGTAAGACTTTGACAAAATTAGATATTGCTGCCGCCGCCCCTAAATTGTGGAACGATCTTCCGGGCTCTATCAGAAACACCCAATAAACAAGTTTAAGAAGGCCATTAAGACTTTTTTATTTGCCAAAGCTTTTTAATTCTTTGTATCTAATTTCATATTTTTACATTTTCTTAGTGATCATTGTTATTTATTTATTTATTTATTTATTTAATTTTTTAAAATTTTTTTTTATTTTTTAATTTTTATTTATTATTTTTTATTTATTTATTTATTTATTTTTGATTTTTTGTTTTTAGTATCTATGCAGGGTTGAATTTTTAACATTTAATTGTAATGCGCAATTGAAAATTCTTATGTTGATAATTGCGCAATATAAGTCTATAAATTATTATTTATCATAAATCGCAGATTGCGATCAAAAATAAATAGAGAAAGATCTACCTATTTTTGCATCAATGTATGATTTAAAAATAAAAAAGACATATTAGTATAACAAGATAATTTGGTTTATCATCTGAATTTATAATGTAAATTGGCCACCGTAAAGAGTTTTTAAAGCTGACGTTTCGGGCGTTAGACCATCGTCGGAGCGAATAGAGGAATTGAGGGTTGTGTGTGGTTTATAGACAGAAAGATGGAGCTACGCTTTTGGTTGGAACGCAGTAACGTGACAAACACACCTATAAATTGGATCAATGAAGATTTAGAGCACCGGTTTGAAAGAAAACTTTTTATTCAAGAGTTTTGCGGCTTTCCGAAATGCACAGATAATGGGAAAGGCGGCAGACTGCCATGTTTAATATGATAAGGAAGTCTTAGTGTCTAGAGACAGGTTCGGGTGCGTTTTTTTTTATCACTTTCTCGAGAAATGTTGTCGGTCGAAACGAATTCTACATCAAAACAACCAACAACTTTTGCCACAGACGAAGGGGAGGGTGGTCATACTATGTCTCCTCATGAAGAAATTACTAATATGAATTTTTTGTACGCACTCAAATTCTATAGGGAAAATCCTCTGAGCACTCTTTGCCTGAAAGCAAAGATGCGAGTCTGTCCCTTCGAGAGAGAAGAAGCGATAAGAGGATACGTGAGGATACGTGATACTACCTGAAAGAACATTTCAGAACTTTTCAGAACATTACTTCCACGGTTACGTCACTTAATATGTCATAAATCTTGATAAATGTTGTCTTCAGAAATTTGTTGTAGTAAAATGCCCCTGGTGCATCTCTGGAGTTCTCCAAGGCTTTTGCAGCTTCTTCATCTGTGTTTCTGGTTATTTCTTGCAAGACTTGACTATCAGCCGTAACGGAAGTTGGGCAGATCGTTCCCGGCAAATCAAGGTAGTAGAACGTCTCACGTGGTTTGAATTTGTCGTGGAGACGCTTGATACGTATCCGCTGACCTCCGGGAATTCCTGGTGTTCAACAGGGAACAAATAATTTAAATTCTATTTTATTACATGAAAATTTTAGCAATGGAAAAGAGAAAAGATAGGACAGCTTACTTTCAAATGAGTATAATAATCCTTTCAAGTTCTGCCCATGCTTCTTTTTGATCGTTTTACTTTGTTCGTTTCGTTTCACCATTTACAAAACAAGAAAATCCTTGTATTTCTGATTGAAAGCTTTACGCACACCAGTACTTGGAAATTTGAATTCAAAGCACGTTAGCACGCCATGTGGACCTACATTCACTAACCTAGACTGTTTGACTCCTCTAAGAGTGACCAGATTTTAATTTCTCCCAACAATATCCCCCTGGATTACGCACTAAGGTCACGAGAATAAAAGAAATGATCACAAACTGAAGAAACTCCTGATTGTTAAGCAAATTCTCCTTGTCAACACTTGGGAAATATATAGAGAACAGTATGGAGAATTTTCATACTGATTTAAGGGCGTAAAGGGTTAAGCAATCAGGAAAGCAACATCGAAGAAAACGTCGATGAAGAAGAAATTCATTTCTATTTTTCTTAAGAATTTCGCGGGTTGGCGAATGTGATTACCGTCTCTAACGGCGCCATACATAATCTTCTGCATAAAATACATAAGCAGCGTCGAGTTCTGTTCTCAGATCACCCAAAGTTCGGTGATTTCACTTTGTGGTTTTGCAGAGGATGGCTAAGATATAAACAAAATTTTAGAACGTACTACAGGTATGTTTATTAAATCTTTCGTTTAGTCAAGTTCTCGTTGCTATCGCCGACATGGTTTGCTTAAAGTCACCAGTACCATCAAGTGAACAAAAAAGGGTGAACACAAGGAACAAGTTAGAAAGGTTAGACTACGGGCAGTCCCTCCTTTACGCCTCTTAGAAAAAAAATTATGTTAGCACGCCATGTGGACCTACTTTTCATTACCCTCAATCTCGGTGTTCTTCGCGGCGTACTAGCATCGTTTCTTTTCCACTAGTTTTGCTGGATTTGCGCGACAGTCTTTGCCGAAAAGGAAGGAATACTCGTTGTCAATAGAAAGATTGACTCTCCCTAAAACATGTTTCCAATTTTTCCGACTGAATGATTACGATGGTTTGCTTTTAACCACTCCGGGGCGCAAACAGCTGGCCAATTAGATCTAATCACGTGACTTTGTTCACTAAGCCTCACCTTCATTACTAATTTCAGTCAGTCTGTACTCGCCAGCGGTCTCTGCCTTGTTACTCACACCGTCATCGTCCAGATACAACCTGTAGCTGCTGTCTCGGCCGGGATAAATACTAAGGGTGATGGGATTCATCTTACCGTGACGATACAGCTCACCAATATACTGTTCCACCTCGCGCTTGGGTATAATGGCGCCTTCCCGAACGTAAACGGCACAGTTGTCTTTACTAGGGTCATCCCAAGGGGCGTAGAAATCGAACTCCACCCCACCATTGACCGGATTCTCCAAAGGACACTTGTCATCTGTAAAACGGTACCACTGACTTCCAGCGGGGAGGTACACGGCGCGGTTCGCTTGACCTGAAGATACAACAAGTTATTTAGAACTACCTTATGACTCAATGGCGTTTTATGGCAATGAGATTATAGGCCTTATCTTAGATAGGTATTCAGAGAGTACTAGAATAAAGCAAAGCCTTTTGAAAAGGTATTAATTGTCCTTGAGAGTAAATTACTGCACATCTTCAACCGGGTGACAACAACCAAAATATCGCAGTATGTTTACATCGATCAATATTTTTCCTGGGTCTCTCATGGTCTACACTGTTTCTGAGGGAGGTTTGAGCATTACCATTACAGTGTGGAATGTTTTAATCGTTAGCTACTACAAATTCAAACGAACCTGGATTGACAATGGCTGCCACCATTATGTCTCTACCCAAAAAGAACTGATCATCCAAGCGGTTGGCCGTGAAACCGTTATACCCCCTGCTGTGCTGGTCATCTGCGCGTGCATCATTATAGAATTCTCCCGGTTTGTACTCATCCATGAACAGGGGCCTGCAGATGGGTTTACCTGTCTGCGTGTTCTCATACATGGCATCGTAGATGTACTGAATAAGTTTGTACCTCAACTCAATGTACTTTCGGCAGATTGTGGGGACTGGTTCTTCATAGCGGTACGGCTCTTGGTATGGCTTGTAATAGTTATCATAGTGGTTTCGGAACCACGGAAGAAACGCTCCCATTATGGTCCAGCGGGCCATTAACTCGGGATCTACAATCTGGCCTTGCCATGCTGCACAGAAGCCGCCAATGTCACAGCCTGACACAGGTTGGGCAGAAAGACCGATGCCGAGGACTAATGGGATGTTCATCTGAACGAATTCCCAGCTTGACGTACTGTCCCCTGTCCACAGTCCAGCATAACGATGAACTCCAACGAAACCGCCCCGCGTGATAATGAAGTGGCGTTTGGTTGGTCGAAGATGCTCCAGACCTCGGTAAGTGGCTTTGCAGAGATTGTAATTGTACAAAGAGCGAAGCTTAGCAAATGGTTTCTTGGCATGGTGAGTGCTTACTTTGGAATACCTTGAGGACAAAACATTGGAATTAACTAAAACGCGAGAAAATCCTTTCTCAAAATTTCCCCTCATCTTCATGAAGTTATGGCTAAATTGATTGATGAGAGCTCGGGGATAGATTACTTTTTTGATCTATGTGCATTGTACAGCTTTCACGCGACTCTGGATTTCAGGATTTATCTGAATATACCTGGTCGTGGGTTCTTGATATTTCACTCTTAAGATCTCATTGGTAATTCTCCTTACTGTCTGCCATACAATTTTTATGACGTGATCTCGGAGAATTTGGTACTGGGTCACTACTAATCCCTTACTTTATGTTTGTCTTCATTCTCATTACTTGTCTGCTTGATGTCATATTGATTTTTATGAAGAAATTATTTCTTGATCACTCATCGGAGTTAAAGGGCCTCAGAGAAGCTATACATCGATCGTGGGCAAATGGGTGTCATTTTAAGATTTAACTGCATGTTTAAATATCACAAATTCACCCTCTACCTAGATCTTAATTCTCTCGCATTGCAAGCCCCAACATCATATTTGTCACAAACCTGGTTTTCTCGGTGTCACTGATCATTATATCCATAGGAAACGACAGCAGGGGACAGTCAGGCTGATGAACACTCGCTTTCATGGCTGGAGTGGTCATGTCTTGCCACACGAAGTCCACTCCCCAGTCTAACAGATCACGGTACTGCTCGCCCCACCATTTCTGTGCATCCAG